TGAATTTAAATAAGTGAATGAGTATTACACCATTGCCAAAGAAATTACAAGGACGATGCAAAAAGGTATCAGTGTATGATTCATGTTTACTGATCAAAAGCCATTTAGATTATGAATTCAGTCGAACCTACTCTGTTAGTTTCTAACATCGAGTTGAACGTGATACCAATGTTTCAGTTAAAACTGTGCTGTCTTTCGGACGACTGACCTCGATCTCTGCATTCTTCTGCTGAAGCCTTCAGGGAAACAAGCTTTCCTTCATCTCTTTCATTTCGTTCTCCATTCTAATAAGTGTCTCTCTCACTGAATCTTTGAATCTTCCTGTACGATTTAGGAAAAAGTTTACAAGTTATGGAGATGTCATCCTTTGATAGCTGACAGCAGATGAAAACGGCTCATTAAAAACAATGTTTCCAAGGTAATTACGGGTGACGTTTTAAAGGAAAATACTGATGCAATGTCTTGCGAACGACAGTTCGCTGACTCTTGGTTGGCAAGTATTCAATGCACAGCCCCAAATATTACAGTAAAAGCAATTTTAGAACAATTGTAATAAAATTGTGATGATCAGTCGTAACCTAAGGTATTGAGGGGGACGAAAGCACACCACAGAGACTATTCTAGAGATTGTTTAAATTGAAAAACTGAATCTCCTTGAGATAGGGTGATTTCTCTGTCACAAGACATCTTGACTACGGCTAAATATCCGGTTTATGAAGACGCAACGATAAGCACAATCAATTTTATTGTATAATTCAACTGACCTTCATCCTTGCTTTCTACCAATGGGGCTGTCAAAGTGCACAGCTTTTCCTTCCTTTCTTTCAGTTCGCTGTCCATCTTCGCCTATCATTTTCTCAAGAGACCCTTTCGTGGTATCTGACGATAAAATATGTTCTCAAGTTCACGGAATCCCTGTTGCTAGTTCAGTTTATCTGTGACTAACTCTTTCTAGAAACCAACCGTCAGGCTACTAAGCGTCTCTTTAACCTCCTTCATTTCAATCTTTATCTTCTCAGTAGTGTCTCTGAAGTCATTTCTTATCTTTTCTGACGAATCTGGAAATGTAAGAAAGATAAGCACAATTTCATAAGCACATTTACATCACAGATTAACGTTTAGGTGTTGATAAAATAATGATACGTATATCGATAACCAGTCGATTCCGAATAGAACAAATTCAGAATTATTTGCAGATAATTTCGCCAAATAATGATCATGAAAAATCGGGGTTGTATTTGAATATTCGTGCCTGCTATTCCACAGCAACTTAAGTGCAAACTACAGATTTCGGTAGAATCATTCTTAAAAAGGTTCAGTTGTCAAAGTTCAGAGGCACTGGGGCTAAACAAATTGGCCTACAATCAAATTAACGGAGCATTGTTTTCGTTCTTCTACTGCATTGGGTGTTACTGTTCCATGCTAAAGATAATTAAATTTCCAGTTAACATAATTGAATAGGGCGAGCACATCAAGAACTAGCCCACCCTGCTACATAAACTAAAAATATGTCATTTTTCTAATTTTTTGTATTCATCCATATTACCATCAATTTCTTCAAATTCTTTGATGCTGTCGTCGTCTTTCCTCCATTGTTTCATCAGTTTATTATAATGCTCCTCGATATCTGGATCCATGCAGTCATGCTCAAGATTGCCGATTTAAGTCCTAAAATAAGATCACCCATGGTCTCACCAAAGCTTCTCCTATTTCCTGCCAGCAAGCACTGATACTACTGTCATCCACAGAGGCTTGAGAAGCATGGCCTTATACAGTGTTCCCGTAATACTTCACTCTGACGATGGCATATGCGATGCTTATGTTTGTAGTTGGGGGAAGACGATCCCAACCATTAGCAGGAGGGCTCAAACCACAGATATTACTAAGCAGTACTCTTAGGAACGTGATGTGGAAGGTTGCAGATGACACGGGTGAGGGATAAGGATACAACTTCCCCCGTTGCGTGGGATTTCGCACTTTCTTCCTCCTTCTGTACACTGATTTCAATGTGGCGTAATGCATTAAGGTACTTCCCAAGACTGTTTGTAGAGTCTCTGGTGGATGTATTTGGTCATAGTGTCAGTAAAGGTGGCGAATGATTGTTAACTATAATCAACACGTTTACATTCGGCCTTTTTCAGAAAATTTATAGGCGTTAGTAATGCATCTAAAACTCACGATTTAACTCTTGCTTTTCAACAATAAGGAACTGTCTTTGTTGTCTTCTTCTTTTGACACGAACTTTGATATTTTTTAATTAATAATTCTCTTAGCTTCAAGAATTCATATAGTTTCGCGTGGTTTTAATTCATTTCGAAGGAGTAATGGTCCAAAAGGTAAACACTTCCTGATATTTAACGTTCCATATTAGTTTATTTTCTACGGCTAGAACACCCTAAAACAAAGACACCTAGAGAAGTGGCTGCTAGAATTACGAAAAGAAAAAGTTAAAAGATTGCAGCAAATATCTCCAGTTTTGTGTAACCTGCATTGGCCTCTGTCACCAAAATGATTGAGTGTGATATTCTCTCTATAACCTAAAAGCACTTGATGGAATAGCTCCGCTCCACAGCTGTGAGCTACTACAGGTTCATCAGATCTCACCTGTAATCTTCGTTCTACATGCAAAGGTTTTTATTGAAAGTACACCATTAGATCCAGATATTAATTATGATAAAGGACTGTGGACCAACCAATGGCAGGAGAGCTCAAACCACAGATATTACTAAGCAGCACTGTTAGAAGCGTGATGTCGAAGGTTGCAGATGACATCAGGTTCATCAGATCTCACCCGTAATCTTCGTTCTATATTCAAAGGTTTGTTATTGAAAGTAGATCATTAGACCCAGACATTTAAAATGATAAAGGCTGTCGAGTAAGACGGTCTGACAAAAGCTTATTCAAAATGAGCTTTCGCTTTAATTTCAAATAATATCGACAGGACTCTGAGGGAATTCATCCCAAATGGGTCTGCTCGGCCTGCAAACGAATACTTTATCGAGTCTAGGAAAACTCAAGTAAAAAAAAACATTTTCCCATGAACGACCTTTTTTTATGGACGTCTTATGGTGAACAAGCATGCCTACACTAGTAAAATGCCGAATCGAGTACCATGCCGGAAAAAGTACGACGCATAAATCATGAGCGGTTATGCAATCGGAACCATGTGGGTACTCAGTAGTTGTCACGCAAGATACGGCTTCGTCAAACTGCGTTAGACTTTAATCTCAATTTTCGGCAGTCATCAAGAGTAACTTTGGCCAAAAGACACACTGCAGCAGGACTATCAAAGCACCCACTGATTGGGTACGATAGTTGAGTAAAGATCCACCTTGCTAAATTACAATTGGCCATTTTTTGTTCCCCTTGCAGCACTTTTTTAAGACAATATTCATCTCATTAGTTGACTGTAATTTCTTACTCATTTCCAATATGTAATCGGTAAAACTTTAAGAATGCTAATTTGTTACAATGAAGGGAAGATAAATTGAATGCGTAATAACTACCACAATGTAATCACACAGCAGTGATTGTGAGTGATTACAAACAGAAATTACCAAAACCCCGGTTTGGATCCTGGGGTGAAGTTTCTCAAAGATGTTGTGGCGCTTGAACTGAGGGAGTTAATATTTCTTTACGGCGACGTGTGGTAAAACATTGCTGTTTTGATGAGTTCAAAGTAAAAACGTGACTAATTTGCTGTCGAGGTTTCAGTGCTAAGAAGACGAAAAAGTCGGTGTTTAACGTTTTAGTTCTATATGGGACGGCTAGGAAATTTACAAAGTTTTCAAAAAACGCGTGTTTCGCTATTGTTTTGCACATGTGATCACTTTAATTTATTATTATTACAGATTCACCCTACTAGGTTACAGGTAGACAATAAATTAAATTTATCATTGCGATAAAGAAACGTTGTGGCATCCAAAAGCGCTGGTGCACCATGCTAGGGATGTCCTACTAATTGAGGTGTAAGAAAAGTATACACAAATATTAAAATAAAAGTTCTAATTATCCTTAATAGAATTTAAAAAATTTCTTTTAATGGCTGCAATACTATTTGATTGTCTAATAAGCTTAGGTAAACTATTCCATTCATTCATTCATAGCTCAGATCTAAGTTCCGCAAAGGGAATGGAAATCGCTATGCCGTTGCATAGGGAGCTGATCAAATCCGATTTTGTACGACTTATGATGTTTAGTGAAATATCCAAGTTCCTGTCCGTCTTAACCGATAACAACTGTTATTATTTGATTCATGACTCCGAAAGGATTGCTGTTATCCTCCAATAATCCGTTTTTTTTCTTTTTTCATTAAGTGACAATGGAGATGCCAATCAAATGAAATCTTATCTTCACTTGAGGAAACCAATGTCGATAACCGAGGCACAACGCACGAAAAATGTCGCATGAGTGAGAAATGGAGATGCACGTGCGAGAGACGAGGAGCGCGTCGCGAGACACGAGAAGGCATTCAAGAAGCCAAATATGATTCTAAGACTGTCTCAAGGGTTTATAGCATAGTTGTGACTGTAGTTATGACGCTGTGTTGAGTTACCGCTGTAAATGCTCTGAAATCCTGTTTGAAGTTGAACGGGATGAAAAGAAATTTAATCGTTGTGAAACTTAGCATCAGTTGGATCCGAAAAAGGTTCCGGTCTAAACTCGAGCGAAGTACCATTACTTGGAACGTTTCCAACTTACTCAGTTCAGACTGGAGTCTTGAAACCTTGAAATCTCGATTTTCTAATGTTAAATTTTAATCGGACGGACTTCTGCAGTCTATCTCAATTATCGACTGCCCTCTAAATGTGGGGGAAAGGTATATCACTGTAATTTATTTTTCAGTTTATTCCATGCATTGCTGAGATCATGGTGTCGTAGGGCCTAAAACAACATTCTGATCGCACAGTGGGATTTAAACCGTGATTGAATGTGCTATTTTTTCATTGTATAAAAATTACCTCGATTACGTTTTAAAATATTGATGTATGAAGAATACATTGAATAGCTTGCTAGTTTACTACAATTGTACATAGTTCTTATTCAGTTGTACAGACAGATGGTACGTAGCAATAAAATTTTTTGTTAGTAAATTAAAAGTAAGAGTAATCGAGTTCATGTTTCGAGCTCCCTAAATAAAGCTTTATATTAGTGAGAGTGTTTTGTTTCCCGTAGACTTGTACACTTTTGCATAGTTATGATAACTTTTCACGGTGTGATGTCTTTTCTTTACACCCCTTGTCATTTGGGTTGTTTTTCTTTTCATGCGATACATTGGAAAACTAATATTATAGAACCTCTGAAATTAAATTTAAGCTTTTGAAGTTCATATTGGATAAATAAAACTGAAGAAAGCTCAATAGTCTGTATGCCCATAAAGTCTTTCTGCAAGGCCGGGCTCTTCACAAGGGCCGATCAAAGTGACTGTAGGGGCCTGCCATTTTAACCTGTAAACACAATAATCAGAACACTGTGATTAAACAGCAAGGGAGAAGAATGGATTGCATGAATTGCTTTTGATTATTGAGATGGGAGCCAGCGATGAAGCATGAAATTATGAAAACCGCAAACTTCATGATGTGTGTTACATAGTCAAAGTAACAAATGGAACAACAAAAAGGGTGACTGTTGCCAACTTGGTATTAAAAAGAACATTGAGGATCCTAACTAACAAGTATCACTATAAAACAAAAATTACGTTTAATTGGAGTAATGTAATAGGCTGTACCTTGTAAGGGTTGAAGGCTAACATAGTGCACCTCATGAATATGTCCCAGCACAAGAGGTTTGCTTTTGTCAACTGGGAAATGTGGCGTAATGATTACATCATTTCTTTTGGATTGACTACTGATCACACGAATGCACGTTCCAAAGTAGTTTGCTGCGGCACTCAGAATCACGTGATCACCCCAAGCTCCATCCTGTTCCATGCATACTAGGTATTCAGTCCATGTTTGATGTCCATGGACAAAGTGAAACAGATCTGTTCCATCCGGCTGTAAGAAAGATCAGTTAAAGGAAACTTAAAAGGATTGTTCATAGGAACTTGAGCGCGTGGAGTACGAGTCAGGGAGTAATTTTGTCAGAATGGTACGAGACGACCGTTAATTAGCAATTTACTGTATGGTAACAAATTTTGTGATTGAAACGTCTTTCAAAACCTCCGTGTATATTCCAAAGACTTTACAACAAGAAAAATCCATCATTAAGAAATTGACTAGAATTTTGTTATCTGATGGAGGTTTAAAGGGAACTTTTTTCAAACTGAGACATCCAAATGACGAAAAACCGTGCCTGCTTCTTCAGACACCGCATTAAGTAACAGTTCTGGCAGTGTTGGCCAGGTGGTTTGTATTATCACTAGACCTTTATCATGTTCTTAAAATAATATCACGTGAGATACTCTGTTAGGCATACATGCATCAACTTACAAGTTTTGGGTTACTCCTGAGGTACTGGACCAAGATTTGTCTTAATTTGCCATGTGGGATTTTGATTCCCCTAACAGTTTCCAGTTGATCAGACAAGGCGTGGAACATGCAATTTCCTAATCCTTCATTGTCAGTCATTCTGAAACCCCTGTCTGATGCAATATTCCTCAGCGCCAGAGATAGATCTATTCTGCTCTTGACTTTGCTTGCGTCGGGTTGCATCTGCTGAAGTTCCTGGATGACTCGGTCAAGAGAACCTAGAAGAGACAAGGTTTTTATTAATTTAACTGCATGAAAAAAGCGAAACAATCGTCTGCTGGAAGATAAAAGTCCTAAACCTACTAAGAGAAATTTTGAGGTAAAAAGGAAAAGAAGGGCTTCAACCAACAGACTTCCACTGTTTTGTCCAACAACTCAGCCTTAAAAAGGAAGTTCTAGCTGTCATTCAAGTAGCTTTTTAAATTCGATATCTGCCCGTGAATAAATACACGAATAATCAAGAGAGAAGAAGCGGAGAAGAAAAATTAACAGCGAGGTCTACACTCTGACATATCTGAGTAACTGGAAAAAGGAGTCCTGGGAAAAAATTACTGGCTTCAAAAAAATGAACAGATGTAATTCCTCTATTGTATGAATATGTAGTTACTTCAATATTGTGTCGAAAGACAACTGTATTGTGAATAGAACATAGACCGGTTTTGATAGGAACAGCATTTTAACTTTGGTTTCGTTTTGAGAAAAAGCAAAAGAATGCCCTACGTCCACCTGTTTCAGAAAATTTATGGTAGTTTCCAATTAAAATGGAATGAAAACTTGAAATGACTAAAAGAAATAAACAACACTAAGCCATTCGTCCGGATCAGAAAGTAAAAGAAAATCAAATTTGTTCATACACGTCTTACGTCTGTGACTGAAGAGTGCAGGGGTATAAATAACAACATGTCTCATTCGTAAGAAACATGATCAAAAGTACTTCACGAAGTTTTCACGAAACATAGCTGGCCTGAAGTCGAAAGTTAAGGTGAAGAAACTGTTGAAGCTCCTTGTAACCTGTCTGTACTTCTTTGGGGATGTCAATTATTGTGTGTTATTAATATTTTAGTACTCACTTGCGGTCAGTAATGAATCAACTGTTAGTTGTTCGGTTGACGTGTCAACAACTTCGACCTGCCGAGTTCTGAAACCTGTGTCTCGTCTTTTGAAAGCTAAAAAGATAGAAAAGAACTTTTGTTTAATATCACAGCAATCAATAAGAGGACAAAATAACTGATAACTATTCATGTTTACCATCTTTTTTTATATGAGATGTTCATACTTTCCGTCAGAGTTAATAAGAGACCGAAAGCCGAGTAGCCCCCTAAAACACTTTTTAAAGAATACTGAAAATATTCTAACCATGAACTATGTCCCTCATCTTCTCCACGAGAATGTTACGCTGTTTCTCCCAGCTAAACTTCTCTTCATAGGAAATCCTCAGTTGTTGGATATCTTGAAGTCGATCTGATCTTTCCTTCTGTCGGACACCAGTAATTGCCTTTGCCCACTCCCTTGGGTCCTCAGACTCCACCACGAATGATTTGCCTGATGGTAAAGTGCACAGTGCTTCACCAAATCCCGAGTTTCCACTGACAAGAATGGGAAGACCAGCAGACAACGCTTCTAACGCCGTCAAACCAAAACCCTCTGTTCTGGAGGGCATGATGCAGAGATCAACTTCACAAAATAATTCTTTCAATCTCTCTTTGCTTTGCGCGAACTTCCTCACGATCAGCTGGCTTTTATCAATTCCACTCTTCAGCAAATTTGCTGCAACCTCATCCTGTTTACCGTCAGGTGCACCCACGAATATGAGACTGTAAGACCTGTCTTTTAGTTCAAATATTGCTCTGGCAGAGATATCGTAGCCTTTAAGACTAAAGTCCTCTGGATCACCACGGCCGAAGGTCAGTACCTTGAACTTGTTACTCTCCTTTTTTGCTTGTTTTACGTCATAGAACTCACGGAAAGTTCCAGGAGTCAGTTGAAGGATGTCTTCCTGACTCTTGCATGAGCGGAGCTGAGCGGAGAAAGCGTCTGTTAGCTTTGGTCCAACTGCTAGCACAGCATCTGCCAACTTACACAACTCCACTTCAGTTAAATTCTTCTCTTCACCTTTGGAAATAGCCTTGGGATAGTTTTTGTGCATTGCAAGTTCTTCGGGTGCAGTGTGCACCACCTGAATCCACTTACAATTGTGAGAATTTCTGATAACTTGGGCTTGCCTACCAAGCTTTGCACCATGACCCAGCACAAAGTCAATGACAAGGTCTCTTGGTGGGAAACTCAACCAATCAAGAGGATCACTAAAGCCAACCAGTTTCTTAGCTTCCTGGATGGAAACATTGTGACATGATGCCATTCTCCTCTCGTCTACAGAACAGGCAGATTGTGGGACAAGGAGAGTAACATCCACTTCAGAGTGCTTGGCCAACAGAATGGCAAGCTGTCTGTTAATGGTGGACAAGCCCCCCATCGACGAACTCCACTCACTGCCCAGGAGAGTCACCTTCAATGCTGTGGCAGACTTCATTGGATTGATTTCACTTGCTTCACCATGTGATCTAGCCGCTTCATTTGAAGAGGACAAACCCTGAAGAAAAAAAAGGGTCAAATAAGATTATGAATTCACTTATGAAAAAAACTTTGGGCGTGGTTATATAAATTTATGTTGATAATACTTTACCGATAAAAAAGAAAAAAGTATGAAATTAAAAAATAATTCTGTCTTGTTAGATATTTTCTTACTTATATCTGAAAACACACGAAATCCCGAAACCACATCTTGATCTTTTGAGTGATATGGAAGATCCACAACTCGCGACAGGCGGATGGAAAAACTTACAAAAGATTTAAATGCTGCTATGAACACCATACAACACTCACTCATTCTACATTCAGATTAAAAAATATTGGTGCAAATAGTGAGTGCAATATATTGAAACGAAAAACGTTCACGCAATGTCACAAAGTCTTGAGTCTGAATACTCTATGCGATGAAATAAATATCATGTGAACCACAATTTTAGCAACTGGAGAAAAGAAGCCTGAAAAGATTCAGGCTTCGACCAGCGCACGGGCTCGAATCTCATCGAAGCCTGACTTTTTTTTTCAGACTTCCTTTCTTGCGAGGTTCATGGCTTTATTTGAGTTTGAGTACTGCTATATAACAGTATGAAAGGCTGCAATACCAAAGGATTGTTAAAATTTAGAAAAACAAGATGGCTGAAACTGTCTACAAGTCACCTCGGGTGCACCTGTTAGTGTTTCCAAAATGCTGAGGCTATCCTATCTTCAGCATAACTATGCACTACTAGCTACTCTTCTTTCTTCGCGGTTACTTGTTGAGAAATAAATTAAACTGAAGCAGTCATGATAAGTGTGGTTATAACCTCACATGCAAAGGCGAAATGGAATCGCATTTTAACCTTTTCTTCAGCACAGGAAATCCATGGAGAGAATTTCTCGACCTGAATTTGATTATCCACAGCCACAGACTTGGTGCAAATGGCCTGCGTTTCATCACCCAAATCTAACTCTGAAATGAAGTGAAGGCATTCCTCTTCTTTACAACCTTCTTCGCGATGGAGTGTACACAGACCGATCACGCGTCTATGGGAACAAACAGGACATAAGAAACACACAGCACATCCAACGTTCTTCACCCAGAAGAACTTGTTCCAAACTTGATTAATGATCGAGGTTAGCTGGCTACGAAATGCTTGAATTGAGGCCATATTCACTTTATCAATACAGCCATTAGCACTGACGACAATAACCTCGATTGTGGAAGAGTGGCAAAGGAGAACCACAGAGAGACCTTCATTCGGAAAGTTGTTAAATCGGGCAAAATTGTGATAAAGTTGTGGCAAAGCTAAGCGAGGAAATTCCCTACCACACCACAGAAAAAATTCTAGTACAAATCGGGGAAACAAGCCTGGAGGGACCCGACCTGTGTCAAATTTGATAAAAAGAGATGGAATTTTTGCAGATTCAACGAGATTACTTATCTCCTTTGGTGGACGCGTTTGCAACATAGAAGGCACTATGTAACGCTTGTCGGAAAAATCTTTTGATGATGGCCAAGGACACAACAAGCTGAATTTCTCCATAATTGCAATTAGACTTTCGTGGGTTTCCCTCTGAGGAATCAAAGGATTCCAAACATGTTTGAGAAGTTTTTCCTCCAGGATTCCTTCTATTTCGAGTCTTTTCCAAAGATGGGCAAAGTTTTTCTCTTCGCGAAAGGCTCTGACAGTTATTACATTCTTGAACACATCAATCAACCACGGAATATCCAAGAAAACTAACTCACTCAATTCTGGTGTGTCATCAAAGTGAATCAGAACTCGCAGATCGTGCAAAAAGTTTAGCACTGTCACTATCTCGTTGTCGTTAATGTTACAAACTTTGGAAGCAATTTCTTTCGCTCTCACGAGAGAGATAAACTTGTAATCACTTTCCTTAAGGGCGCGAAGGGCCTTTTCGTATTTCAACCACTTGATTGGAATAGCCTCGGTTACGTGTGGTAACTCTTTAGAAACGACATGTACATTATCTCGCAAGCGCATTATTTCTTTACATTCTGATTCTGTACCTGACTTAGTGTTATCAACGCAAAACGCATCAAATAAGTGAGCACCATATGGCTTGGCCCTTAGATCGCCAAATATTTCATAGGCTAGTTCAACCGGATCACGTGCGCAATAGGGCTGATCAGCATGCGTGCACACAAGGAAAACGGCGGGAAATTTCTTATAAGGCAACACTGTTTCAGGGTCCCCTAGAGCAGCCAAAGAACTCATCCAGAAGTCTAAGTAATCGAAATTCGTTTTCAAATTGTATTCATCTGCATTGAACGCTTTGTATACTCCTTGCTTCACCAATGGTGTGGCTTTGTCGCTTGGATTTCTACTCAAGTCATAAACCAAAAAGTAGATTGCTCTTCTTGTGAGAAAGAGGGGGTGCGTCACGTAATACACTGACTGTCCAGCAAAGTCCCACAGTATGGAATAGATGTCTTCTTTATCATCTTCCCAGTTCTCTCGAAGGAACTGGGGAAGTAACTTTACAACATCGTAGAAATCCGGCAATGTTTCCAGCAGGTTGATATGCGAATCTTCTTCTGGTTCTAATTCTGTAGGGTTTTGTATTTCTCTCGATGATAAATTAGGTTCATCGTTGGTGCTATTGGTTGATGCTGGATTTATGGATGATTCTAAAAGGTTCGCAGAACTTAAAGTTTCACAAGGTCCCCTTTCCTTTGTGTTGTCAATTTCTTCAAAATCATAGCCAGCTGACTCGGCTGAGCTTGTTTTTTTGACTTCAGCAATTTTTTCATGCGTTTTCCATTTACCTGCAATCCACCGTGCTGTATTATACTCAAATGAAATAACTGTGGTATCATTATTGGCCTCCTCGACTATTTCTCCTGTTTTCCACATTTCGGTGGTTACTTTAAAATGATAGCGATCGACCTCAATTCCCAGGGTGCTATCTTCATCAGGTTTGAAGCAAATCCCTTTCAAGGACTTCTTCACGCTGGTTTTACCAGACCGATCCTGTCCAACTATCATTAAAGGCACTCTCTTGACACACGTTTGACCTTTGGCCAGTGCATTGTTGTAGGCTTCTAAAGCTTCAGGACCACGGGCACGAATCTCTGGAGGAACTGTAAATATGACAATCGAGAAACGCACATTAATAAATCTCAACAATTAAGATCGAATTAAAAGTGGACAAACAAACAAGAAATAGGTAACATGTAAACAAACAAAACCAAATAATCAACGAATTAATCGAGTTCTATTTTTAATGCAAACAGCGTGTTTCTCTTTAAATACATTAGATAGATTAGGTAATGGGAAGAAATGAGTATTATCAATAGCATGGGATTATCAGTTAAAAGCCTAAACCTTCATTTAATGCATCGGAAAGATGACCGAGCTCAGTAAGCAAACCTCTAATCCCAATGGAGATCAATTCTACTCATGGCGGTAATAGGAATAATATGCGCTCAGGTAACCTTCCGCATAATTTCAGTGAAGGTCCTCTAAGATAAATTCGTGTTTCTAAAAAAGAACAAATTTTACTTGCGTCTAGGATAAAGGCTTGTGGTTTGATTTTTACTCAAACTTCAACTTCTCTTTTTACGTTTCATTTCAATCCTACAAGTCGGGGTATATATTTACGTATGGGAACAGCAGCACCTTGTTCACACGCAATAATTTGATATGCTATCATAGATGTAATATCCAGGAGTGCTCTAGCGAGCTCCGGCTAAAAAAGGTAGCCAACATTTTCAACTGACCTTCATCCTTGTTTTCTCCCACTTGGGCTGTCGAAGTACACGGCTTTTCTTTCATTTTTTTCAGTTTGCTGTCCATCTTTGTCATTTCGCCTATTATTTCCTCAAGAGACCCTTTGATGCTGTCGCCATCTTTCTTCCATTCTTTCATCAGTTCACGATAATGCTCCTCGATAACCGGATCCATGCAGTCGTGCTCAAGATTGTCGATTTCAGATCTAAAATGAGCTCCTCCCAGTCTCACCAAAGCTTCTCTTATTTCCTGCCAGTAAGTACTGAAACTACTGTCATCCACAGCGGTTAGAGGAACATGGCCGTATACAGTGTTCCTGTAGTACTTCACTCTGGCGATATCATCTGCGATGCTTATGTTTGTAGCTAGAGGTAGACGATCCCAACCATTAACAGGAGGGCTCAAACCACAGATATTTCTAAGCAGTACTGTTAGGAGCGTGATGTCGAAGGATGCAGATGACACGGGACGGTGAGCAGGATACAACTTCCCCCATTGCGTGCGATTTAGCACTTTTTTCCTTCCTTTGTAAAGTGATTGCAATGTGGCGTAATGCACTGAGGTACTCCCCAAAACTGTATGTAGAGTCGCTGGTGGATGTATTTTGTCAAAAGTGGACCGGAGCACCTGAGATCCAACATCCACCAAGAGGCGGCATAGCCTTGCATAGTTGGTAGTCTCTTTTGTAGACATAAATGGTGAACAAGCTGTAGCCATGAAACTGACTTTACCAGGATGACCTGTTTAACATAGAATTGACAGTAAGTTATGTTAATAAAAACCACCAGAAAAAACAAATCTCGATAACTAATTCAGACCGAAAATAGTTTCAAATCGAGATGTCATTTATTTAAATCCTATGGAACACGAAGCTCTGTCAGTTCAAGCTCTGCAGAGCCTATTCCAGAGATTGTTTCAATTGAAAAACGGAATCTCTCTGAGATAGGATGATCTTTCTGTCACAGGACATCTTGACTATGACTAAATATCCGGTTTAGGAAGACGCAACGATAAGCACAATTAATTTTATTGTATAATTCTACTGGCCTTCATCGTTGTGTTCTCCCACTGGAGCTATCAAAGTACACAACTTTTTCTCCAGTACTTTCAGTTCGCTGTCCATCTCTGCCACTTCGCTTATCACTTTCTCAAAAGACCTTTTCGTGGTATCTGACGATAGAATAAAATTAGAACTTTTAGTCTGAGTGAGAGTCACTTTATTCATTAAAAGAAAAGTTAACTAAATAGATCCTTTCCCCTTCCTCCATTGTTTTTTTTGTTTTTGTTTTTTTCAATTTTATACAACATCGTACAAAAACTTATGGCTCAGCTTCGGCGGTGTTTGTTAGTGAAATTCTGTCGTAAAGTATATTACTCGGGAGATAAATATTGATATTAGTGGAGCCGATAGTCTAGGTAAGAAATTTTGTGGGTAAAAAACGACACTGTAAGAACTAATTAACGAAAACTAAAGAACACCTTTCCAACCTTTTTTTCACGTCGTTTAATCATGAGAAAAAGAAAAACGCTACAGAAAACCAGAGGTCCGCCTGCAATGAAGTGGAAGGTTTCGTTAACAGTTTTTAACTCGGGAAATGTAAAATAACCACATATGCCTTATCCTGCTCCTTTTTTCCTAAGACGACCCTCATTCAGCGATTCTTCCATATAGAATGGAATACTCTATAATAAATTATGAGTGGAGGAAGAATTGTATTAATTTATCAAATAACATGCAGGTCACATCTAACGGTCTAGGATGTTGATTCATTATGTCCTCAACAAAAGTAAAACTACAATGGGACATTAACCTTTCTCGGCCAAATGTGTATGACAGCTGTCAGAAAAATATCTAATCCGGGAGGTAGACTCAGATTCCGTGCCATCCCATTCATCCCACACATTACCTAGTATCTTCATTTATATCCAGAGTAGATTGGTAGCCAGGGTGTACTCTTACAACAATATACATAACCAAAAAATAATGTGGTCATGCTCAAAAGATGTGTTATGTTCTCAAATTAACGGAATCCCTGTCGCTAGTTCAGTTTATCTGTGACTAGCTCTTTTTAGCAACCAACCTTTATATGTGCTTTTTTCCACTGTGGTCGTCAGGCTACTACACGTGTTTTTAACCTCCTTCATTTCAATCTCCATCCTCTCAGTTGTGTCTCTGATGTCGTGCCTCATCTTTTCTAGCCAGTCTAGATATGTAAAAAAGAAAAGATAAGCGCAATCTCAAAAGCACGTTTACATCACAGATTAACGTTTAGATGTTAATAAAATTATGATACTGTATCAATAAATAATTGATCCCGAATTGAACAAATTCAGAATTATTTTCAGATAATTTCGCCAATGAAAAACGAGGGTTGTATTTGAATATCCGTGCCTCCTATTTCACAGCAACTTTAAGTGCAATCTACAGATTTAGGTAAAATAATTTTCAAAAAGGTTCAGTTGACAAAGTTCAGATGCACTGGGGCTAAACACATTGGCCTGCATCAAATTAACGGAGCATTGTTTTGGGTTCATCTACTGCATGGAGTGTTACTGTTCCGTGCTTAAGATAACTAAATTTCCAGTTTCCATAATTGAATTGGACGAATACATCAAGAGCTAGCCTACCCTGCTACCCTGTCCTTTTTCTAATTTTTTTATTCATCCATATTACCCTCAGTTTTTTCAACTTTGTCTTTGATGCTGTCTACGTCTTCCCTCCATTGTTTCATTAGTTCACGATAATGCTCCTCGATAACCGGATCCATGCAGTCGTGCTCAAGATTGTCGATTTCAGATCTAAAATGAGCTCCTCCCAGTCTCACCAAAGCTTCTCTTATTTCCTTCCAGTAAGCACTGAAACTACTGTCATCCACAGCGGCTTGAGGAGCATAGCCGTATACAGTGTTCCTGTAGTACTTCACTCTGGCGATATCATCTGCGATGCTTATGTTTGTAGCTAGAGGTAGACGATCCCAACCATTAACAGGAGGGCTCAAACCACAGATATTTCTAAGCAGTACTGTTAGGAGCGTGATGTCGAAGGATGCAGATGACACGGGACAGTGAGCAGGATACAACTTCCCCCATTGCGTGCGATTTAGCACTTTTTTCCTTCCTTTGTAAAGTGATTGCAATGTGGCGTAATGCACTGAGGTACTCCCCAAAACTGTATGTAGAGTCGCTGGTGGATGTATTTTGTCAAAAGTGGACCGGAGCACCAGAGATCCAACATCCACCAAGAGGCGGCATAGCCTTGCATAGTTGGTAGTCTCTTTTGTAGACATAAATGGTGAACAAGCTGTAGCCATGAAACTGACTTTACCAGGATGACCTGTTTAACATAGAACTGACATTAAGTCATGTTAATCAAAACTATTTGAAAAAAAAACTCTATTTGAAAACTCCCAAGAGCCTATTAACACCGAAAATATTTTCAAATCGTGAGCAGAAATGAAACGCGATTTTAAGTTTAAGGGGAAAGGAATCACCAGAAATAGTTTTTATTTCCTCTAAAGGGCCTTAAACTCAGTCAGTTCTGGCTGGTTGACGTTTAATTCTCAATGGAATGTAATCTGCCTTCTAAGTACCAAGGTCGATATCGACTGTGAATACACTCTTGGAGGTTTAATAAAGGCTATCTTCATAAGATCTACCAATCCAAGACCTCTCCCTCAGTAATAATGAAAGCATCCGTTGAATTCTTTCATAACCCAGCACGTCACCTTACCTTGAGTGCTGTATTTCAAACAAATTGACCTTTAAAACTTCTGAATTGTTTATCAGTGCTACAAAAGAAGGTAAACGTGGACATTAGTGTCTACTACAAGCTTTTTATGAGGAACAGCTGCCAAAGTACAACAACTAAGTTAGCTATGCCGACACAGAAAACAAAGCTGCTACCATATATATATATACACACGTAAGTTAAAGAATTAAAGAGGACGCATCGATTCTCTGTTTTAATAATCCTTTCAAAAGACTGTTGAAACAGTGACTTCTATGAACTTCTCTGCTGAACAGAGAATCGATGCGTCCTCTTTAATTCTTTAACTTATGTATACTCAGCTCTGCTACCACAGAATTGAGCACTTTATGCCGAGGTAAGACTCTACCGCCACATTCATGTATATATATATATATATATATATATATAGATATATATTTGTTTTTTTTTTTTTTAAAGTTCAGATGTCATGGAATTCAGGTATAAAATGGACAGGCTCCCTGTAGAAAACCTCATTTGAGGTCAACAGAAAGCTGCGGGCCCAGCCAAAAAAAAACATACAGCAGCTAAGTCTGCAGTTTAGGATAACTTCATTCCAATTTATTGTTACAGTTACAAAAAGATTTTAGTTAAAATATCAATTATTTAACTGTAATTAACCCCTTCACTCCCATGAGTGCTAAGTCAAAATTGAGAAGAAATCTTTGAATTTCAATTTGCAGAATCAAGAAAAACAAACACCATAGAGTCGAACCTCGATTATTCGGACTCGTCGGGACCTCGGTAAATAGTCTGGATAATTGAAAATATGAATATTAATGAGGTAGAAAAAACAAAAGGTATATAGCAAAGAAAACATCATTTTAATTGTGAAATCTACATGGCCTGTATGTATTTACGAATAAAAACTTTCAGTTCAGGTATTTACAAAAGTCTAAAATGTTCAAGCATGTTTGTTCGCTTCAAAGACTTGTAGCTTCATTGCACCGCAAAGTCCATCATTCGTCTTAGCATTAACTGCACAGGGTCAATATCGTTCTGTGATTCCATCCACGACAAGCATTTTTTGAAACATCAAATTTTGAATAGTGCACAGGATAATATGCTGTTTTAACAGTCTTTTGAAAGAATTATTGGGCTTTTTGCAACTTTGAGTTTTTAAGATCACAACTAATTGATATTCATGAAAAAATTGGGACCAGAGAAAAAATCCGGATAATCGAGGTTCAACTGTAACATGAAAGAGCTACTTGACAGCTTACATTTGAATGTTCACAAAGGAGATTTATCCAAAGAAGTTACAGCCAGATGAAATTTAGTCAAAGCCTGACTCTGGGAGCAAAGGGGTTAAATACCCTTTGTATCAACATCCATAATTAAATGATTCATTTGATGACTATTTTTTGACTGATAGTATTTATTGAAGTAAACATAATTCAAGTTATTGTATTTCATGATGAATAATCAACAGATTCTATTCACAATTTTTGTCAAACCAAATTTAATGATTCATTAGGACTATTTTAATTAAACAAACATGAGGGGACGCAAATCGTCTGTACTGTAAGTATCCCGGAGAGTCCCCTACATTTTCTTAGACTTTTAGTCTAAGAAAATGTATGGGGACTGTAAGGTGTCATAATCCTGTTGCTGCTGACATCGATGTGACAGATAATTGCTTTTGCACTGTTTTCTTTGCCGGCTTATACTTGTCATCAAGTTTCAATTCGCCGGTAACAAAACGAAAAAGGGCCTGGGACCGAATGTCGATCGCAAAGCATGCATGGATTGATTGGCTGGACAGGAAGACATGTTGACATACATGTGTTGTAATTTATCCTGTTCAAAAGAGACTAATTCAAAGCTGTTTTGAAGGAAAATGCCACATCATTTTAACTGTTGTGTGCCCCAGTGTACCAACAACTTTAGAAACAAACCAAATCTGGAATATTACAGGATTCCCAAGTGCGAAAAGGCTCGAAAATACTACAAAGTATCGCTTAGAAACGAATCGCTAAAGCTGGATTCTTCCCAAACGAGAATCTGTTCTGAACACTTCGAAGGTGGCCAAAAACTCAGCAGAAATCATCTGCCAACAATATTTCCATGGACAAAAGAGAGAAAATCAAGGAGAGAAATCTTTAAGCATGACTTTGTGCCAAAGAAAAGGAAAGTCGCATCAGTTGTTGTATCTACTACTGATACTGACAGCAGTTACTCTGACAACATTGTAACCCAAACAACACCGACCTCGACTGAATCACTGCACGAGGATCCATACTATACGAGAGAAGTTCAACCTGAGGAAATACTGAATAATTTTCGAGAAGAACAACATCAATATCTTTCTAAACACACTCAAACTGACATAGATTTGGCATCATTGGAAGAGGTATTGAATGAGGTATCTAAACTCAAAGAGGAAAACAAACAATTGAGAGATAAATGTGACCAGTTAACAAAAGAAAACAAACATTTGAACTTTATTTCAAGTAATAGTGAAGTTTTTAATATTGAGAAGTACAAAGATAATCCTGATGACATTGCATTCTACACTGGACTCTCTGATTATGAAATGTTAATGATGTGTTACAACCTAGTGAAAGACTCAGCTAAGAATATAAGCTACAATTATGAAAGAATATACTGTGACTTAGAAAGTACAAAACAACCTGGCAGACCTAGAGCACTATCAACATTCCAGGAATTCATAATGACTTTGGTGCGAATACAACTGGGATTGTTTGAGAGAGACTTGGGCCATAGGTTTAATGTTTCTCACATGTCTGTTTCAAGGATAACTAACTCATGGCTGAGATTTTTGAGGTCAGAGTTCGAGCCGCTTATACAGATACCACCTGATGATGTTTTGAAATTTCATATGCCGAAAGTCTTCAAAGAAATCTGTCCTGACACTGTTGTCATTGTAGACTGCACTGAGTTCCAGATGGAAAAGCCATCGTCACTCGATGCCCAATCTGCCTGCTATTCATCCTATAAGAGCACTAACACAATGAAAGCTTTATTAGGAATCACACCAAGTGGAGTTGTCTGTTTTGTTAGTGAACTATTTCCAGGAAGTACTTCTGATCTAGAAATAACAATGCAAAGTGGCTTTCTTGGCAAACTTAAAAGAGGTGACGAGGTAATGGCTGATAAGGGGTTTAATTGTCAAGATGAGTTAGCATCAGTTGGAGTTGTGCTAGTTAAACCTAATTTTCTAAAAGACAAAAAGCAATTTTCTACCAAAGAAACAGAACATAATAAAACAATTGCAAGTCTCCGTGTCCACGTGGAAAGGTTAATGGAACGTATTAAAAACTGGCATATTTTTGATCGTAAAATTCCCATTTCAATGTCACCTGTTGCCTCTGATATATTAATTGTGGTGGCTGCTCTATCAAATTTTCTTCCTCCCTTAATAGACTAATTAGATTTTTTTGTACATGTTCATGGTAGAGTGCATTTCATTGTTGATGTGTGAAACACTTTGAAAGCAAAATTGTGCAAATTAGTGCATGTTTCACTCTTATAATGAAATGCACCCAAGGTGTAAGATAGAGCAAAAACACGAACTTTGAAATGATATTAAATAGTTATTGACAAATATTTAGTATGTAGTGACAAATTAATGATATCACTGGACCAGAATAGTTTTTAGTCTTGCTATAAAACAAATGCAATTGACAGAGACCACTTTAAATATATGGTACTGTCATTAAACTGTTCAGGATTGAGCACAAAGCAAAATGAAACAAAACTATTTATTCTAAACATGAACAAAAGCTGCAGAATATAATACATTACATGATAATATATTTGCTTGACGTTTTGATCTGATAAATCTTTAAATTGTTTTCCACACATGTGCAGTCTACACTTTGATGCATTAACTTTAACTATAACTAAATATATTATACTTTGCCTCTTTTGTATTCTTTTGTCCAGTGACAACTATTGTGGTTTATTAAACTTTGAAATTACAATAACTGCACAGGTATTTAAAAGCCACTTATTTCAATAAATAGTGCCTGTTATTGTTGTTAGTATTTTAGCCTTTTTAAAGGTTACACTATATGTAGACCCATTATGTCCAAGATAATTAAAATTGTGCAACTTATATTCAAGACTGCAAGGTTTTCTTTTACACTGTTCTAAATGAATTCATTTAAATCAATTTAGGCACAGTCTATTCAAATCTCAACTGACATCTTGCTAACCCATATTTGACTCGAGGATATGACATCTCTGGTAAAACTTGTTGTTGAAAGAAATTGCAAAGTTTAGGAAGAACACTTTCCCAAAACTCAGAGTTGAAGTTGACTCGCTCAATGTATAGCTCATTTCCATTTGTTTGAGGCTCTTTCTTATCAAGCAAACCAAGATCTGCTTTTTTCTTCATAATATTAGCGCCGTTGTCGGGGTCTCTTGTCAAGGCCATTTTCTACATAGTGTTTTACCCTATGCAAAACGATTTTAAATAATGTTAATGGAGTTCTAAGCAGACGATTTAATGTATAAAATCTTTAAGTGAATATGTTTTCCATCAGAAATATTAATGGTTTTTATGTAAGCAAAAGAAAGAGCTACGAAAAAGCTGAATTTGACCCTTTACCTGCTGACTAAAGCTGACTTTTTACCACTTGTTTTCGCTCCCCTACAAATCAGCCAGCGCTTTAGCTGTACCACACTGCATGCCTCTACATTTCTGTTTGGCAAAACAGCCCCAGGTATATCGTCTTCAGTTAAAATAAAGCCTTCTTCTTTAGTTTCTGAGAGCTTACTATCATTCGCAATGGACGCCATTTTGATTTCTGTCCAGCCAAACAATCCATGCATGCTTTGCGATCGCAGTTTCAGTCCCAGGCCCTTTTTCGTTTTGTTACCGGCGAATAAGACGGCTATCATTTTTCACAAGAATAATGAAGTTTTCGTAAATTGTGAGATCGGATGTGATTAAAATGGGATTAAATCACCTACAGAGCTTGATATGTACTTACAGTGCAGACGATTTGCGTCCCCTCATGTAGCTGTAATTAAGGATAATTTTTAGGAAGTTTTCAAGAGAAGAAAAAAAATTCAAATTCCATCCTAATATTACCACATGTTGATGTTAATAATTGCAATAGAGAATATTTTACTTGTACACGCGAGTTCAGCATGAAAATAAATTTCATTGACTACTTAAATTTTTAGTTGGGAGTTAATGCATGTATTTATTTTGTATTAGTTACCTCAAAATTTTCCTTAAAATTCCCGAGTAATTCTTCAACATTCCCAGAAATTCCTGAAAATTACTTGGAATTTCTGGCAAGTCTTTAGATTTACAGCCTTTCAGGGAAAGTCATCAGTGCTCTGGGTTGGAATTCCAAGGACTTTCTAGGAATTCCAAGTACGGTTGGCCATAAACTTGGAATTTCTGGGCATTTCTAGCTTTTTAGAATCAGAGTTACAATTAGGAATTCCTAGGTATTCCTAGTCTGAATTACCATGAAAATTCACAACTATTAAATACCTAGGAATTCCAAAATCCATTTTGCAAAGTAGTTTTACTGAGCCATCCAAAATGTCACAACCCTCCATAATCTAGCTGGCTTACAAAAGTAAAGCATTCCTTTTTTTTATTTAGGACCCCCTTTTGAATGCTTAATAAATGGAATGCCCTGTTTTTAGTTTTGTGTTGGGAATGTGATGGTGCTGTAAAAAAGATGTGAAGAGGAGGTTATTCTGTTTAAGTTACTTATTAGATCTTATAAGATCTTAATAAGATTCTTACAAGAATTGGTGTAAGATTTTCAAGAAATTTTCATGTAGGAATCATAAAAGAATCCTATAACAATCTTGTAAGAATCTTGTAAGAATCTTGTTAGAATCTTATAGAAATCTTACAAGAACTGTATTAAGATTTTTAAAGGATTTTGGGTAAGATCCTGTTAAGATTCTTGTTAAAAATCTTAGTAAGATCCTGTTAGGAATCTTATAAGATTTGGAAAGAAAATTAATAAAATCCTTGTAAGAATCCTGTAAGAATCCTGTAAGAATCCTGCAAGAATCTTGTAAGAATCTTGTAAGATTCTAACAAGAATCTTACAAGAATCTTACAAGAATCTTACAAAAATCTTGATAAGATCTATTATAAGAATCTTGCTAAGATCCTATTAAGATTCCTATTTAGAATCTTAATAAGAATCTTAATAAGATTTCTACCTGGGTCCACTAGGCCAGTACCAGCAACTATGAGTTTATGGTGAGCAAGGCCATTAATTACTAGGTTCATATCTGGCACTCCTACCACAACCTGCTAGCAGGTTGTCAACACCTGACATTAATTATTCAACCAAAATAACTCAGTGACTAGACCTTTTCCACGTTCCAGGGTAAGTGAGGAGAACCCAGTCTGAATCAGTAAATTTTCTCTCTAACAACCTACATGTAGTGAACCAAGGGATTACCTCAGCATGAGTGTCCCCTCACTTTTATCTCCCCAATTGGTGTCCCAGAGCATTAATCTTCCGCAAACAAAGCTCGAGACATCAGAATGTACTGCAGTCTTGGCATACACCACCACTTTAAAACATTTTTAAAGTCTACAAGTAAAAAGCAGCTCTGGCCACTATGGATAAGGATAAGTGATGAGGATAAGTGCAGCAATCCCAGCCATGTGTCACTGGTGCCAAAGTCATATCTTCTGGCTGCCTCTAACCCATATGTATGGCAGAACAAACATCCAAACACAGTCAGCAGGGGTTGCAGTGCTTGAAAGTTAAAATCTCTAATTGTCTAACACCTTAGAAAATTAACCAGACAATCTCAGGCATAACGTTACCCAGATCCTTTCACATAGAAAGATATACATCTATACAATTGCATGATCAGACTGAGCACTTGCATCCTCTATGGCCACTCCTAGAATGACCACAGAAATTACAAGAATAATTATAGTGATTGGCAAAATTGCTAAGGCATCATTTATTACCACTCCCACAAGGACAAACCATTGATATTAATATTGAAACAACATCGTAGTGGGTGATTAACTAGTATGATCATCCACAAGCACCATGCAACATCACTACACAGGGATTTAAATATGTTACAACTGCTCTATAAGTGTGTGACCAACAATTGCACTGAAGAAATAATGACCAGTGAGCAATCTCCTTTACGATAAGGCATACAAGTATTGTCAGATCAACCACAAGTGAAAAACCTCTCAACATAACATCAGGTTTCCCTAATATGTCACCAAAACACTAAACACCATGCAAATCTGCAGAACACAGCCCACAAGTTAGTTACACCTGAGAGAAAAAAATATATATAAGCTGCCCTGAGGCAACTGCTTCAATTAATAAAACCAAAAAGCCCTTTACAGGTAACATCACTTGGACTCACATGCAAGAACAGTCAATATATAAACTCAATGAAGTATACATGTCTTTTTCTATGGGGCACACTTGATTAGGAGCCTCACTCTGCTGGGTGTCCAGCACCTTGTCTCTCATTCTTGTGACCTCTTCAAATGTATTTCTTCTTCCTAGTCTTATTTAGCTTTGTGATCATGGTGAAATGGAAGGCTAAGTATTATCAGAAACTTCTTTTGGCCACTGCAGCCCTACTATGATGACAGCAACCAGACAAACACTTACATAACCACAAAGCCTCCAAAGAATATTATACACCACCACTCCAAAAAGTAGATCAACTATTTAATGAGCATCACAGTTACTTCATCTTAGTAGAATATTGATAAATAGCAGTAAAAAATCAGTACACACTTTACAGGTTGACAACCATGTAGCACCTGCAGTTCCAATTAACCAGACCCAAAACTGTACCAACACCACAACCATAATTATAATAACACTACTTCTGGTTACCAATATTTGCACAAAATCACCATGGCAGGGCGTGAAATTAATTTTTTTTCTGATAGCCACTTGGCTCCTAAATTCTTCAAAGTGGTAGCCAATTCAAAAAAAGTTGGTCGCCATTTTCAAAGACAAACAAAATCTTTCTTTACGCTGTCAGCGTTCTAGAGAGACCCTCCAAAATTAAGTTAGGGAAAAGATCCTTAACGTGCTACAAAGTGGACACTAGGATGGATGATATACAACATTAAAGCTCATCTAAATCCAAGATGGCGTTTAGTTATCGATCGAGATGCATGTGCTACGTTTTGGAAACAAACTTAACGAGGAAGTTTGCCGCGGATTTATTTTTGCAAATCATTTTAATTCACTATATCTCTTGGCAAGGTTATGATGAAACGTTCTAGTCGCCAATTTGGCGACTAACTTTCAGGATTTGGTCGCCAAAGTGAAAAATTTAGTCGCATTGGCGCCTGTATTAGGCGCAATTTCACACCCTGCATGGTAGCAGCTAATTAGTAAAGGGTACCTTGAAGGACTAGTTACAATTAAGTTGGTA